CTCTTTAAGCCTCTACTCAAGTGTCATCTACTCTGACCACCCTACTGAAAATTGCAACCTCCTGTCCCCATTCCACAACCCCTGGGTCCTCTTTTTCTCCCTAGCGTTTTATATAGGCTACCATAGGAGGAATCCTGGTGGTGCAGTGGTTAAACACTCAGCTACTAACTGAAAGTTCAGTGGTTTGAACCCACCAGCTGCTCCGTGGAAGGAAGATGTGGCAGTCTGCTTCCATAAAGATTTACAGCCTTGGAAACTCTATGGAGCAGTTCTACCCAACCTACAGGGTTGCTATGAATCAGAATCTACTTGATGGCAATGGGTTTTGTTTTTTTAAATGTTTGTCTGTTTTGGTTTTTTATTTTTTTGGTAGGTTACCATAAAATATACTTGTTTATTATATTTATTATTATCTATCTCCCCCTCTAGAATAAGCTCTAAGAGGGCAGGGATTTTTGTTTGGTCCCCCCTCCACAGTGCCTAGTACAATGTCTGGCACATGTAAATTCTCAGTAACTACTTCTTTCATTGCACTTGCTGTTTGTGTGTTAACTTATTAACTTATTGAAAGCCTATCTTCCTCTCTAGGCTATAAGCTCCAGGAACAGAGGTTCCATATCTATTTTGTTCACCACTGTATAACCAGCAACTAGTGCAGTGCCTGCACATAGTAGGCAACTGTCATGGATTGAATTATGTCCCCCAAGAAATGTGTGTATCAATTTGGCTGGGCCGGGATTCCCAGTACTGTGTGGTTGTCCTCCATTTTGTGATTGTAATTTTATGTTAAAGAGGATTAGGGTGGGATTGTAACACCCTTACTAAGGTCACATCCCTGATCCAATGTAAAGGGAGTTTCCCTGGGGTCTGGCCTATACCATCTTTTATCTTACAAGAGATAAAAGGAAAGGGAAGCAAGCAGAGAGTGGGGGACCTCATACCACCAAGAAAGCAGCTCTAGGAGCAGAGCGCGTCCTTTGGGCGCTGAGATGCTCCCAGACCAAGGCAAGACTGATGACAAGGACCTTCCTCCAGAGCCGACAGAGAAAGCGTTCCCCTGGAGCTGATGCCCTGAATTTGGACTTGTGGCTTACTAGACTGTGAGAGAATAATTTTTTTTTGTTAAAGCCATCCACCTGTGGTACTTCTGTTATAGCAGCACTAGATGACTAAGACAGCAACCACCAAAAATTGTTGTGTAAATACATAAATACCTAAATTGTGTGAGAGGTTAGACTATTAAGGTCCATGTCAATCCTTAACATTTGTCATTCTCTTATAATCTGTTCAAAGATAGGACAGACACTGTACTTAAATTTGGCCTACGTTTACTTTCCCATACATAACATTCACAATTTCTGAAAATATAAGGATAATAATCTTTGAATTCTTTCAATACCAAATGTTTACTGAATGCTCAAATTCCTCAACCTCTAGACTAGGTGCTGGAGATAAAGCAATGAAAAAGAGACAAATTATCCAAAATCACCCGGGATCTTACATTCTAATGTGAGAGAAAGACAATACACAAGAAAATAAAGAAATAAAAAATATAAATTGGTAAGTGGACCTGCATCGGATAGGCAAGGCCAGTCTAAGGGCTAACAACTGAACTGAGACATGGAAGGTGAGAAAGAGCCATATATTTGAAAAGCTGGGAGAAGAATATTTCAGATAAAGGAGAGAGCAATGCAAAGGTCCTGGGGTGAGAAACAATAGGACTCATTTTGCTGGAAAGTGCTGGGAGAGGAGGAATAAGCTAAGATGGGAGAGGCATGCAGGGCCAGATCCTCAGACCCTGGAGGACATCAGAAATCTTAATTTTATTCTAAAGCAATGGTAGCAATTTAAAACACTTTAGATAGGGGAGTAAGTGGTTTATTTACAAAGATCACTCTGACCAGTGAAGAAAAAAAATCTGAGATAGGAGTGCCCCTAGGGCAAATGTGAGATGGTGGTGGCTTGGACTGGAATGCTGGTAGTGAAGATGAGAAGATAAAGTGCTAAGTCAAGAAATCAAATAACACATTGCACTGGGCAAATCAGCTGCAAAAGACCTCTTTAAAGTGTTAAAAAGTAAATGTTACTTTAAGGACTGAGGTGCATCTGACCTAAGCCATGGAAAAACACCTCATGTGCATGCAAAAGCTGGACAATGAATAAGGAAGACCAAAGAATGATGCCTCTGAATTATGGTGTTGGTGAAGAATACTGAATACACAACAGACTGCCAGAAGAATGAACAAATCTGTCTTGGAAAATGTACAGCCAGAATGCTCCTTAGAAGCAAGGATGGTGAGATTTTGTCTCATGTTATCAAGAGGGACCAGTCCCTGGAGAAGGACATCGTGCTTGGTAAAGTAGAGGGTCTGTGAAAAAGAGGAAGACCCTCAGCGAGATAGAATGACACAGTGGCTGCAACAATGGCCTCAAGTATAATAACCATTGTGAGGATGGCACTGGTCCAGGCAGTGTTTTGATCTGTTGTACATAGGGTCACTATGAGTTGGAACCAACTCAGCACCTAACAACAACACAACAAGGCACAAATGATAGGAGCTCTGATGGTGCAGTGGTTAAGCATTTGGCTGCTAACCAAAAGGTTGGCAGTTTGAACTCACCAGCAGGAGAAATATGTGGCACTCAGCTTCCACAAAGATCACAGCCTAGGAAACCCTGTGGGGCAGTTCTATTTGGTCCTATAGGGTCACTATGAGTCAGAATTGACTTGACGGCAATAGGTGCAAGTTAAGGCGCAAACACAGACTTTTTTTTTAATATAAATATACACAGATTAGGTATGTAATGTACTCTACTTAGTCAATTCTTGGTTCTCATCTTACATAGCCCATCTACAGGATTTGCCACAGTTGATCATCCCTTCCTTCCTCCTTGAAACACTTTCTCTAGCTGGCTTCCAGTACACCACGTACTTACTGGCTTTCCTCCTACCTCCTTTGCCACTCTGTCTTACTCTCTGCTGGTTTCTTATTGCTCCCACTTGTCAATGTTGGGGCATCCCAGGACTCAGTCCTTGGACTCTACTCTTCTCCATCTGCACTCACTGCCTTAGTTATTCCTTCAAGTGTCATAATCTAGCTAACATTAATATGCTGACCAATACCAAACATAGATCTCTCCTGACTTCCAGACTCAATGTACAACTACCTACATAGCAGCTCTGCCTGGATGTTACATTATATCTCAATCTTAATACATCTAAAACTAAATTCTTGATCTCCCATCTTCCTGCCTAAAACCTTTTCCTCTCCAGATACAATCCCACCCCAGGACCTTTACACTTGCCACTCCCCCTGTGTGGCATACTGGAAATCCCCACTGCTTGCTCCCATACCTCCTTCTCATCATTCTCAAAGGTCACTTTCCTGACCTTCTGTGACCATGTTCCTCACTTCTCCATTTTAAATAGTAATGCCCGTCCCACATCCTCCACCCTAGTCCCTACTCTATTTTTCACCCTAGCACTTCTCTCCTTATATAGGGCTGTCTATAGTAAAAAATATAAGCTCCATGAGAGTAGGGATTTTTATATCTTTTGCTAACTTAATGTTTTCTCAGCTCCTCGAACAGAACCTGATATGTGTGTGTGTGTGTGTGTGTGTGTGTGTGTGTGTGTGTGTGTTTGTGTGTCTATTTGCTGTTGTTAGGTGTTATCAAGTCAGCCCGGACTCATAGCGACGCTATGTACAACAGAACAAAACACTGCCCAGACCTGCACCATCCTCACAAATGTTGCTATGTTTGAGCCCATTGTCACAGCCACTGTCAATTCACCTCTTTGAGGCTCTTCCTCTCTTTGGCTGACCCTCTGCTTTACCAAACATGATGTCCCTCTTCAGGGACTGGTCCTTCCTGATAACATGTCCAAAGTACATGAGACAGTCTCGACACCCTTGCTTCTAAGGAGCATTCTGGCTGTACTTCTTCCAAAACAGATTTCTTTTTGCTAGGTGCCATTGAGTCGATTTTGACTCCTAGTAACCCCATGTGACAGAGTAGAACTACCCCATTAGGTTTCCTAGACTATAATCTTTATGGGAGCAGATCACCAGGTCTTTCTCCTGGGAACCGCTGGGTGGATTCAAACGGCCAATCTTTCGGCTAGCAGCCCAGCACTTAACCATTAAGCTACCAGGGCTCCATATATATATACATATATATGGTGCTCAGTAAATAGCTGTTACATGCATGAACGAATAATAAATGTTAAAACTATGTCTTTATATTAAACGCATGAATGAAAAACATAAACTAAAACTATTCATTATTCTGGTATTTTTTCCTATTTGCCTACTTTTATAACTTCAGTTTGCAATGTTTTTAACTGGGAAAGAAAGATGGTAACACAAACAGGAAAGAAACTTGAAGACAGGTAGCTTGCAGTTTGCAGTAATAACTTTATGGTGACAGAACAAGACAAAAAAAGTAAATGTGCAAAATGAGGCACGAAATCAAGAAAAAGTTACTGTGAGTCTAATAATAATATAAAAAGATGTGAACGTGCACGTGTTTGAAGGATGACATACTTCATGTCATCAAGAACTTCTTCAAGAACCCAAGCTACCTACCTCAAAGTTACACCTCCTTCTCTGCATACAAAACTATTTACCTACAACAGGGAAAAGTTGTGAAACATCCTCTGAGTGAGCCAAGAAGTTACGGCGTCGAGCAGCAATTAGAAGACACTCAGAAACAGAGCAAGTGGTGAGTTATGAAACACTTCTGTGATTTTTACTTTGACCTTAGCAGGAAGCCAAGATATAAAATTCACCAGGAATTAAGGGCTGTAGTAGCAATGAGTCTTCACTTCTTAAACTTTGTTCAAATCTCCAGGGCCCTGGGACCAGGTCCGGCGTCGCAACGCTGACCCAGCGCTGGGGTCACTGCCTGCATCCTCAAGGGTCATCCATCTCCTCCTCTGGCCCTGAGAGTCGCCCTTTTCCGGCCAATGCCCTCCCCAGGGCCCTGCCTCCGCTTACCAACGCCGGTGGAATCCATGCACCTGTTCCTCCGTAGTCGCTAAAGTCTTCTTTCTCTTCATAAAGCCTAGCAACTCACGGACCTCCTTCTCGCAGGAGACCAGGAGCGGGTTTTTAGCGTCCAGCGGCCCATAAAACACGGCAAGGGGCAACGTGACCTCGGAGCAGGCGGAGCCAGGCAGCAGGATCGGAGAGCTCGGCTTTGACTCCTGGGGCGACTTCGAGAGCGCGGTCGAGGTCGAGATCGGGGTTGGCGGCGGTACTGGTGGCGACACGGACGTGGGAGACAAGTTGGATAGATGGACGGAGGAGACGCGCCGCGCTGCCATATTGACGCGACCGTAGCTGGGCCCGGTGTACACGCGGTTGCCTGGCGACGGTCTCGCGGCAACAAGACGTCCAGCGCGCTTTCCGGGAAACACAGCGGCTCCTGAAGGCCAGAGGAGGAAAGAACCGGGGCCGAAAAGGAACGGTACTCTTGAGGGTTTTTTGCCCTTTTGCCCACTGGCACGGCTGTATGAGATGAGAATAGAAAGAAGATTTTGGACAGAGAGCCAGCAAATATTACAGTAAAAAATTTACGACCACAAATCCAGACTATGTTCTTTTTCCAGGTTGACCACTTAGAAACAATAATGATGATGATCACTATGGTTACTAATATGTGCCTGGCATTGTTCTAAGCATTTGAACCATAAAATCTTATTTATTTAATATAATCATCATAACAGCCTTACGCCTTAGGATATTATTAGTGCCTCAACTTCGTAGTTTAAGAAATCAAAGCTTAGGGAGGTTAAGTCATTTGACCGAGGTCAGAGAAAACAGTAGCTTCAGGGACCCAGTCCTAGCTTTTGACTCCAAAACTTGTGGTCAAAATGAATAGGCCATAAACGCCCTAAGGAAGTTTACTAATCCAATTGAAATCGATCATCAATTTAAGATGGGAGAGGCAGGCAGGGCCATAGCCTCAGAATTACATTTTAATGGGAGAGACAGGCAAAACACAAGGAAAATAGCTGACAACAATTTAAGAATCAAGTGCACGCAACTGATCCATTCCCTTACCCCTATTTGTGCTTTGGGGTCTCTAATTGTGGGAATGACGTCTGTGCCTAGTGATTAAGATTACATTATATTTATTCATTTGCATTACAGTCTGATCCCAATTATCACTATATTCTAAATTAATGAGCATTTTATCCAACCTTAACCTTTGAACATTAATGCACGGCAATGGCTTAAAATGTTACTCTCAAAATATTTTTGTACTTTAAGCAGGGATTTTAGGATATTTCACTTCTGAAGGGGAAACTGTAGGCCTTAAGGGGAAGTACTCGGGGCATGGGAAGTTCATCTTTCTCTGCATATCTTGGACAACAGCGAGAGTCAAATTTATTAATTTGAATTATGAGTTTCTGACTAATGAGAACTCTGTTTTCCTTATAAATGCAACACCAAAAATCATCTTCTAAGGGAAGGACCAAAAGTATTTGATGGCTTAGAAAAAATAGGTATTATAACACTTAAAACTGCTAAGTTTTGTCAAGCTTAAAAATAAATAGAGACAGCAAACCTAATACCCTGTGAGCCCAATTTCCCACTTAAGATTAAGAAACTTATTGGACCACAGTCTGATTTCTTTCAGACGAGACCTAATTTCTTGCAGGCTCTGTGGGCCTGTGCTAATTTGTGAGGCTGGCTTAATACATCATGGGTACTGTACTCTAATATTGTTTTAAGGAAGATGACAGTGATTTTGCTTATCAGGGCAGGTAATTGTAGCCAGAAAATCTTCCAGGCAAAGAGTGAGATGCTCTGGCACATTATTGTAGGACATCAATTCTCCAATTAGGATGTAGAAATCACCTTTTGATTGACAGAGCTTGTATATCATCTCCAAGTGAACAGTGAATTTTTTTTTTTTAAACTTTAAAGAACTTAGACCTAAAGAAATAATTCATCCTTGGGGCATTTACCGAGAATATTGGTAGACAACAAAAATTCAGCCTAGTAAATTCTCTCTTTTCTCATCTTCCCTCTGTTCTCATGTACCTAGGTGACTTGTCCACTTCAGATCAAAAGCTGATGTAATTTGCCACCGAGAGCTATCTCTGATATTGATGAAAGTGAAACAGCAGGATAAAATTAAATGAAAATGGTCATAGAGGAGTAAAGAAAATAAAAATGAGACAGATAAAGTTTTTATTCCCCTATGTGGCTGCTCCCACAAACAAACTTTCCCATAGTGCAGACAGTTGCATTTCAAAGTCACTGGTAAAAGAAAATGTGACTAATGAAATTCAAATATTTGAATTACGAAACATTGCATCTTAGTCATTTTCCTTCTTGCACGTACTAAAGTTAGCACTGCTTGACTTTCAGTAGTTTTTGGAAGCTTGTGTGAATATTTAAATGGGTGCTATACTTTGAATCATCACCAGGATAAAATGGAAGTTTCCATTTTGCTCCATTTAAATTATATTTGGGGCATTTTTTTTTTTAACATTTTAAAGGTGTTATCTTCCTTGTAATGAGATGTAGCTATTATAATATCTTTTCTATTTCCTTGTCATTTTGCTTTATTCTTTTCACTGTAGTGAAAGAATGAAGCTCTGCAACAATTGTGTCTGACAGGGCTAAATAATGTAAATAGCTTCTTTATAAACAATGTAAATTGCTGTTTCCTTATAATTAATGTCTTTGCAGGCAGCAGGGATGCTTTTTGCCCATTTAAGAGTCTTTACCGTCTAACGTTACTGTCAAAGAAAGAATAATAAGGTTAGTGCGCTTTCTATTCCTAATTTAGTTGTGAATCATTTGGACTGACCTAAATATACAAATATACGCAGTCTTTTTAAAAAAATACAAAGATCCCACCTTCCCACTTCACAAACTAATGTTTTGGCTTTCTTTTCTTTTCCTTCTTTTTCGTTCTTTCACCAAGTTAAATTCAACGATTTCTTTAGTTTGTCTATACAAGGCATAAAAGAACTCTCAATTCCGTGCAAGAAGCAGATGACACATATAGAAGTAACCACGATAAAGAGGCATGCTTTGAAATGTTTTCTGTCTAGTCCCAAGCTTCTTTTGGGGCTTCTATGTGTTATAGAAGCCCCAAAAGAAGCTTGGGACTAGAGCCAGAACAAGGGATTCTGCAGAGGAGGTGATGTTTTAGCACTGGTTTGTAACTGCCCCCTCATTAACAGAAAGACTCCTGAATCAGGGATTTGCCAATTTACTGTGGTAGCCCAGCACCCAAGCCCAATGCCTGGAACACAGTAGGACTCAATAAATCTTTGTTGGTATGAGTGAATTAAAAAAAAAAAAAAAAAAGATGAAGGAACACTTAGAAAGGTATTCCTGACTGAGAGAAAAGCCAGAGGAAGGTACAAAGTCATAAACATAGACAGCAAATTAAGTAAACAATCTGTCTACTGCAGTGAGCCACAGACTACAAAAGATCAAGGGCAGAAGATGAGGCAGAAAGGGAGGCATGATCAAGTATAGTGAGCAGTTGGAAGGTATGCTAAGAAATTTTGCCTTGGTTCTGTGTTCAGTGGGGAGTCTTGGTTAGAAACACAGTACATACAATGTGATTAAAAGCCCAAATTCTAAGGTAAGACTCCCTGGTTTGAATCTCAATTCTGTCAAGTTACTTAAGCTTGCTGTGCATTTGTTTCTTTCTGTAAAATGGGGATAAAATAATAATACTACCTACCTCACAGTTTTGTTTAAATAAGTTAATACAAAAAAAAAAAACATTTAGAATAGTACCTGGAACATAGTAAGTACTATATAAATGTTTGCTAATATAATCATTCAGTTGGGAACCACTGAACAGAGAACAGCACGATCCACTTTGTTTTCCAGAAAGAAAAATATTGTGGCAGAATGAAAGATGGATTGGAGAGAAGAAGGTTATATCCAGTTTTAGCTTCACAGATCTTCACACCTATTACATTACATGGAGTCAAAACAGAAGCAGCCAAATTAAAGCCAAGGAGAGACATGCGGCAGAATCGGTAGAAAGCAAAAACTGACCCAATAAAGCAAAAGGAAAGTCAGAGAGCAATGTGTAATTTATATGTATATATAAATATGTGTGAGTGTGTTATAAAAGTAGTAGAAGAAATTCTAGCAGAATGTATTTATGACCTTGAAGTAAAGGCTTTCCTAAAAGCTACAAAAAATAAAAGACAGAAAGGAAAATACTGATAAAAGAATACATAAAAATAAACCTTGGGAATGATGAAAGATAGCATAATGAAAGCGGAAAAACAAGCCACACACTCGGAAAAGATATTTGTAATGCATAACCTAGGGTCTGAATACCATATTGGCAAACATCAATAGTAGGCTCAGACTGATGGAAAGACCAGATAAAGCCACTACTTGGGTCAATTAAACAGGTTTTATCTACAGGATATCAACGGAAATGCGTGTAGTCAGTATTACAAAAGAGAAATTAGCAACATTATCCAGGACAGATAGGGTATAAGCTTCCAAAACCTAAATCACCAGTGATACAGTTGTAGATTATAATGTCCCTGCATCTTCCAATCTTCGATATTGGCACTAATATCTACAATTCTTTCCAGACAGCAATATTGCTTCTAATTTACTATTTTGCAGTGGGCAGTTTCAAATACTTCCACTAGGCCCTCCCATCCATAGCACCTCTTACGCTACAGGTTAGGGCCATGATTAGGGCCAGAATCCATGTAAGGATTCTGCTGAATATTGTCCCCACCTCCAATTAAGGGATACAGGTCTGTAACCTGACTGACATCCAGAAATTAGGTGAGGGACTATGATTTTCCATTGCAGCAACTAATATCAGGCTTTTGCGGACAAGTTCTTGGGATTTCTGATAATACAAACATCTTAGTTAGCTGCCCATCCATTTTACCCCTAATAACACCATGATCCGTTAGCCAGAGCTCTCTATAGGTAAAGGCACCTTGGTTGCCACTCTTGCCTGGCTGTCCATTAAGGCAATTATATCAACCAGCCTTTATTAAGTGCTACCACCTGGCCTCTGCCTTTCTGGAATCTCATTATATCCATTGACATTACAGAGCTAAATTTCATGGCACAATCTCCCACTATCAGCCCTGGCCTACAGAAGACAGAAACTATCAAGCCCCAGAGATGCTGAGGCTCCCGTCATCAGTATATTCCTTATATCCTTAGTGAAGGGAATGCCCTCCAGGCCATCTCAGGGAACATAGCCAGGTGCTGGATACTTAGGACATACACCCTAAATCCATTCTAACATCCCTGCCTCCCTGATCCTTCTGACCCTTTCTTCAGTATGACATCAAGAAAGTTTTGCCATCTCCACTCTATTTGATGTAGGACTACCTTAGTTTCTCAGTGCTGCTGTAACACAAATACCACAAGTGGGTGGTTTTAAAGAACAGAAATTTATTTTCTCACAGTTTAGGAAGTTAATTTTCGAATTTAGGGCATAACTCTAGGAAGACAGCCTTCCTTGTCTATTTCAGCTTCTAGTAGCTGCCAGCAGTCCTTGAAGGTGCACCTGTCTCCATCGTCTTTCTCCCTCTTCTCCCCATGTGTGCCTCTGGGTCCATTTGCTGTTTTTATAACTCACAAGTGATTAAGTTTAGAACCCATCCTACTCAGGTATGAATTAACTAACATAATAAAGAAAACTCTATTTCCAAACAGGATCATGTGTACAGGTATAGGAGCCAGGATTTCAAGACATATTTTGTGGGGAGGGGCATGATTCAATCCATAACAAAGACATCATCAGGCTCATGCTTCAAAGAACCATTTTGTTAAGTTTTTAGGGATCCCAACTCATGGGTGAGCATTCCCATATTAATGAATTCTCCCCTGTCCAGCCTTGTATTCTGTCTCCTCTGGTCTAACATACTCAAGATGCATTCCTACACATGGTCCCTTCAGTTTCAGCTAATACCTATTAGTCAGATCCTGAAATTCCTTTGGCATGTAGGTTATTTCTTCCTGGAGCAGAGCTTGCACTTTCCTGCTCAGGCTGTGCTAAAACTTGACTTTAGTCTTCAGCCAGGAGGCAGTGAAGTGTGTTGGGGGCATATCCTGAGAAAAACAAGTGTCATCTTGGAAGGTATCTGCTTCAGATTAGGTCATTGTATGTTCCCCCAGGCAAGCAGAGGCTGTTTTTCTCCAGCAAGTGGCTAGGGGCTACTTCTGCCAACCTGGAGGAATCAGAGGAATTTAGGAGCTCAAAATTCTTAGGCTTGTCCACCTAAATGTCTCCATTTCAGGTTTCTGGATCCCATTTTTTTCTTGGAATATCTACTTACCTATATAATCAGATCCTGAGCCTGATTTCCAGCAGAGTCTACCCTGCAGTTCCCCTGAACACTCTGGCTTTCAGGGCATTTTTTAAGTTGCCAATTAACTGCCCTAAGACTGTTTTTCTTTTCTTTTTTTTAACAGGGCTTCCAATGCCTTCCAAAGAAATCCCTCATACTATAACCCCTTTAATTAGTGTTGCCCCATGCTGATTAAGCACCATAGCTACCTGATCTCCCAATACCTTGCTGTCTACCTCCACCTCACCACAATTAAACCCTGGGTGAAATCACTGCATGCCAAGAGATATTACCATCCCACTTACCACCAGCAATGGGTCCCTACTGTTTTCAGACAGGTGGGTGATCCAACTGTAAAATTCCATCCTGAGGACCCACTTTCTTTACCTCACTCCTACTGTCATCACCTGAGTTCCCTTGAAAATACAGTTCAAGGCAAAGGCTTCAGCGTTAATGTTTTATTTGGCAGTGGAATTCCCATCCATCAAGAATGAGGGAAAGGGGAAGAACTGTAGAGAGGGTTGAAAAGCAAATACAATACTGGCTAACGCATCATGAAGAAACTGCCATGTGGGATGCCTCCCAACAGATTATATCAGACTATATAGACTTGTATATGTCATATCTTGGAGTAGTCCATAAGAGGGAGGGGTAGTGAAAAATACACACTTGCTGTCTTCCTCTGGACTTCATTCTCCCAATGGTCAAGGTTCATCCCTTGCACTTCTGGTTGGATCACTTAGGCAGCTATTGGGGATGCCAAATCCCATACTCTGTGTTATAGTGTTTCCTCCTAGTTCACAAGTGGTAGAACGAGCCAGAAATTCAAGACAGTGACCTCAGGTGGCAGAACCAAGCAGACGAGCATGGAGCCAGTCACCACAGCAGCTGCTGAAATGCAGCAAGTGGTTGAGGGCCCAGTGGGACAAGTGAAGACAGGAAATCTGAGGTAATGCATAAGGTGTGTCCATTACACAAGCCCTCTTGCATACTAATGCCAGCAATACACTAAGGAAGGCAGAGCAACAAGACAGAAAGAGCTTCGATCCCCAATACTTTGAAACCACAACACTAGTCCTGGACCACTGACAGCCAGATTATTATGTGAGAGAGAAATAAACTTCCATCTTGTCTGGAGTATTAGTATTAGGGGGCTTTGTAAGAGTAATCAAACCTATATTCTGACTTGTTGTTGGGTGCCATCCAGTCAATTCTGACTCGTAGCGACCCCACGTGTTACGGAGTAGAACTGCCCCATAGGGTTTTCTTGGTAACCTTTACAAAAGCAGATTGCCAAGTCTTTCTCCCTCGCTGCTGCTGGGTGGGTTCAAACCACCAATCTTTTGGTTAACAGCTGATTGCTTAACTATTGAACCACCAGGGATCTTTATATTCTAACTAGCACACCATAAACTAATATACCATAAGCCTAATTCAAACAAAACAAAATCTCAAACCTTTTGCTGTCCAGTCAATTCCAACTCATGGTGACCTTATATATAACACAGTGAAATGTTTCACAGTCCTGGGCCATTTTCATGATGTTTGGTGTGTCTGAGTACATCGTTGTAGTTATTAGTAGTGCATTCCAACCTAAGGGGTTCGTTTAGCGCTATATCATACAATGTTCTGTTGTGATCCATAAGGTTTTCATTGGTTAATTTTTGGAAGTAGATCACTAGGCCTTTCTTCCTAGTCTGTCTTTGTCTAGGAGCTCCACTGAAACCTGTACACCATGGGTTACCCTGCTGTTATTTGAAATACCCATAGCAGAGCTTCCAGCATCAAGTGACATGAAAGCCACCATCGTACAACAAACTTACAGACGAGTCCTGAAAGAAGGAAGTGCTTCAAGAGGGATACGAGCATCAGAGAAAAACACTATAAACAGAGGGTTTTCCTCTTGTACACATTTCCACCAAGCATGATGTTATTCTCTTGGAACATAAAAAAAAAATGTAGCAGAAGGAGTAGGTACAGAGCAAGAAAATCTGAGCTACAGAATATTATACAAGCAGTGAAATACATGTCACTTTCCAATCACTCCATGGCTTCAACGCCTCTTCACACACCTTGAAAAAAAAGTCTGCAAATTTCAAATCACCTCTTTGCAAATTGATTTTTTAATGCCACTAGGCTGCACACAGTCACAGCCCACACTCTTTCAGTTGCTAAGTGTACTGGATTGTCACAGTATGTTCCAGAGGCTCCAGATTTCTCCCAAATGTGAAAGATTTGCTTCTAATTGAAAGCAAAGTCCTTGTCTTTCAAATACAGTAGTCACTAAAAACAAAGAAATATTCCCCCCGTTAATTTTCGAACTGTTCAAATTCAAACTGATTTCCCAAAGCAAGGGAAAGCTTATATGCTCTAAAATTCAATAATATTATTTTACAAGGTAGAATTCAAAGATGTTTTATGTATTAATTTTTTATGCCTAGCTTCATTTCATTAGGAATGAAAATCATAAGATTCCAATAAAATTATTTATTCCTGAGATGCACTAACAACTAGCTATTGAAGAGGTGTATTGCAAGAAGCTTTGGGTTTTCTAAGTCAATTAACATGAGCAAAATTTTAGGGAAAAAGAAAGTGATAAAAAGACGGAAATAAAGCTATAGTAAGAACATTTAGATTTAATGGCTATGTATGCAAACATTCAACAAATATTTATTGAATGAGAGCAGTACAACAGCGTATAGTGTCACTACGAGTCAGAATC